TATGTCTGCGGACTTAAACTGCTAGAACCGTTTCGATACCCGTGGTGGACAGAGCACAGATAGCCTATTGTGTAGCTTTGTGTCTTTTTTTTTTTTTAAGTTTAAGCACAAAGCTACACAATGGGCTATCTGTGCTCTGCCCACCACGGGTATCGAAACCCGGATTCTAGCGTTGTAAGTCCGCAGACATACCGCTGTGCTACTGGGGGGCGTGCTTAATTTCAAACAAACAAATAAACTCAATGTACATTACCCCGTGAAAAACCTGAAATCTTAATTCAAAATAAGATCACAGTCAGTTCAGATTGCCGAAACAACTGATCGTATATATATATTTTTACATATCAATACAAGTATACTACATGAAATATCGTGGAATGTTTCTCAAAGCTGTTATTATACACTTTTTTTTCAAATTTTTAAAAGACTCCCATTTCTTTATCATGTAGTTCTTAAACAATTATTCAAAAAATGTTTGTATAGCAAAAATAAGAACGTATTGCCCGATATCTATTCCAGTTAAAAATTGCAACCAATCATTTCATAGCTATTCCGGATAAAGACATTATTGGGGATATCAAATCCTATTAAATATTTCTTACGTTTCGATTTATAACACTCAGATTAATGTGTAGGTAATATTAAACTATCATTAAATATATAATAGTGTTGTCCAATAGACAGCGCAAAACTTTCAGAATAATTTTAAAGAGGAAACTAAACAAACAAAAACTAAAATTACAAGCTTGTTGTATTACGACGATAGGCAAGTTTTTTTTTTGTCGTTGTACGTGCCATTTCATAGAATGATGGCATACGGAAACACTCAAACATTTCTTATGTTTGAGCTTAAATTCAAAGATACAATTTACGAATTATAATATTTCATATTGGGAACTTTCAAAACCTCTATAATCTCTGAATAGTCCTATCTTCTTCTTGTGACTTTCATCAGGCGTTAAGTATTCTAACATCTGAAATTGAAAACTATCATCTGAAACAAATATCTTATTAGTTATTTAGGTACAAGTAACGAAAGGCTTTACTAAAACTAAATAAATACCGTTGAAGTTATTTATAAATATGTTATCATCATATTCGATTCGCTTTTATGTTTTCCACTTCAAAATAATATGTAACTTCAAACTGTGTTTATAGTCAAATACTATATATACAATTAATATAGTTTCAACGTAAAAATAGCGTTTCGCCCTCTGGTGGTCAAATGTGAAATGCATATAAGAATAGTTTAAAAAGGGATAGATTTATTGTTACATATTTTGATCTTATAAAAAACCTTGACTTATGTTTTTATTCGAAATTCAAGTCCTTTAAATAAAGTTGCTTTCAACTATTACCGAAATCCCGGTACATCCTTTTATTGTGAAGCAATTTAACACTAGCCAAATCAGAGTCCCTGATGTCAACATTTAGAACATAACTAGGGTTATTCTGTTGTAAACTCAAGCCAGAAGTGAGAGTGAACTTTAAAAACAAATCTGTTTGAAACGTTAAAGTAAAAGAAGATACCATTTCATCTTGCGTATCCACGTGACTTCCGTTTTTCAATAACAGTCGCACCACTTCCACGTGACCTTCCGTTGCCGCCTGGTGGAGAGGGGAGTAACCTGACTGTATAAGAAAAATAATTACTGGTTCTGTATTTGAATATAGCGTTAACAAGCATAAAGCACTAATAAATAGTCCTATATAGTCAAATAGGTGATTTTTGGTTATAAGAATTTGTTAATGGCCCTATAAAATTTATTTTCATACAACATACCGCATTAAAGATGCTACATGTAAACAGAATCTACCAGTTTACTATACACCACGAATCAGTTGGAGAGGTACATTCTTTCATAACTGATAAACAAATTTATCTTCTTTTGGTGTTAAGCTACACAATAGACTATCACCGCGAGTATCGAAACCAGATTTATAGCGTTATAAGCCTTCGGAATTACTGTTGAACTACCGCGGAGTAGTTGATAAGCTCCAAAAATTAGGAAAACATTCTGTGGTCAACATGAAAATGTTTACTCTTCTGTTCGAGAGTAAGGTACTGTCCTTGAAAAGATTACCCGCCCTCCCCTCCTTTATGTGACAAGTTACACTACACACATTGAATAACATGTAGATCATGATTTCAGTTATTTAACAATGTCTAAGTTACCTAATTAAACACAAAATAAGCTTGGGTTCGTTGTGGTTTAGGTGATACAATGTCCCATAGTTGACGCTGAAAGCAACACGAATTTGTATTCGTATTTTAGAGCCCTCCAGTGGCACATCAGTATGTCTGCGGACTTACAAAGCTAGAAACAGACAGCCCATTGTGTAGCTTTGTGCTTAACTGCTAACATACCTTAGAAAAAAAAACACGAAGAAAACCTCTGGAAAAAAAAACTACTGAAGGTTTTAACATCATTACTGAACTTTACACTGCTATAGGTAGAGAAGGCATATTTTTTAATTGATAAATTATTTTTCAGTTTTTTAAGAACATGCGTGTGGTAATAAAATTAATATATAAAATTCGTCGGTTATATATATATACACACACACACATATATATATATATATATATACAGCAATCGGAAAGAAAGAATGAGCCTAGTTCCTATCACGATTTTCAACAAACTGTAATAGAACTCACTTTGATTTTATTTTTAAGAATCATTTATCACAATCAGCTAATAAAAGCTCTTCAGATACAATTTCCTAAAAATTAAAACGTAGAAATCCAAATATCATCGTGTATTTAGTACAAGATTCACGGCACGACACTAGATTAAGATAAGATCCACGTTCTATAACACCCGAATATTTTGTTATGCGGATAAACGGACAACTCCACCTAATATCCTTACACGCTGAGAGGCAAATCTATTATTACTTCATCTTGTGTGTTTGTGAATTTGTTTGTCCGCGAATTCTTTCTACAGTTTTATAGCTAGAAGGCCCAAATTTGGCAGGTTGACTCGGGGTGTCTTTATCATACCCTTATTTATTTGGGGTGCCAAAAGAGGCTCAAACGCGCCCGGAAGATTACCCAGACTGCAAGGTCACTGAACTTGAATCTAGCATTGGATTTTATTTATATTTCTGGTCCCCTTCAGGATCACGATGCGCCATTTTAGAAACTGTGTTCATAACCACACTCATAAGCTAGCCAAACTCAGTATACGTGCTCAGGGAGCACGAACTTATTTTTTTTTTTTTTTTTTTGTTCGGGTAAGGATTCTCCTTGGAGTAGCTATAAAAATAATAACAGAGGAGCTTGATCGATACACTGTGGCCTGATGACAAAACCTTGTCGAAACGTTGTACATTTGCTATCGTATTAAACTTATATTAAAGTTTTTCTTCATTACCCATTCAAGCCGTCTCCAAGCATTATTAGAAACATCAGGGAGTCTTTGAACCCCGCATCGGAGCGCTTGATTTTTTTGCTAGTGTAGTTAAATGCAGTAATATGGTAAAAAGTGTATGTTTCTTCCACAAAATATTAACCGCGATAATGACCTTGAGGTATTTCCACAAGGTCAAAAATAATTTATTTGCTTTGTTTGGCAATTCATTTCAAACGTGCTTCCATCGAGCACTCGGTGTAGATAAAACTCAGCCTCAAAAGCTACATCATTTTTTTTTCTTGATTTGATATTGTATACGTTAAATGAGTTTGTATCATATTTTTACTTAGAGTGTTCAGCGAAACACAAAACTGATATTCTAATCATCTATTATATATATATATATACACAGGAGTGCGCACGCGCTTAGGAGAGACATATAAACGACTAAAAAACACCCAACCTGCAGGTTATAATTAAGAGCAAACTTAAACCGTAAATGTCAGGCTGTTTTGCTCTTTTATTGCTAGGTGAAAGTTTTACTGCAAACTTAATAAGCAACTGTCATTATTTGTTGGATATGAATCGGTAAGCAAGTGAGAAGAATTTTCTAATTTGTGAGCTGGAGCCTCAACGAGGTGACAGAGACGAAACACTTCATATTTCTCACGTTTATCACCTCTAGATAGTTTTATGATTCAAATAACAGATACTACGGCTTAGTTGTAGGCTTATTATGACCTAGTTAAGTTTTATCACATCATCGACACGAAGAACGCATTCTTGCAACTCAGCCGCGTTGATATAATAGAAATATGATAATTCTGAGTTTGTTTTAAATTCCACGCTCTATTTTAACTTTCAAAGTTTTCACTGGCTTATGATTCCTACTGTTTGGGTTCACAAAATAATATCCGAGCACTTAGCGTTTTCTGCAAATATTCGAATTTCATAGGCAAAAAATCAAAATTTGTGTATTGTCCACTGAGAGCTGGTTAAGAGAAGTTAACAGTCAAAGTTTCAAGATTATTTTGCGAATTACGTTGCATGTGCTTACGCAACAATTGCTTGCCATTGATCCACTGAGAGCTGGTTAAGAGAAGTTAACAGTCAAAGTTTCAAGATTATTTTGCGAATTACGTTGCATGTGCTTACGCCACAATTGCTTGCCATTGTTGACATATATTACTGTAAAAATTTATCACAACAATAATTTTACATTGTTGGTTCGTTCGATTATTTTGTAATTGAAAACTTACACACACACACATATACGTGTTGAAAGTGTGTTTCTTTAATACAACCTATAAACAAATACGCTTTAAAAAAACACTGAATAATCTTTATCCTAAAACTTGATAAAGTATAAATCTTTATATGTCTAAAAATCATAAAATCTTGCGAATTGTCATTACAGCATTTTTTACAGAAAAAAACCATTAAGTTATATCTACTTAGACTTCATCAATGACAGTATTACACAAGTCACTTTATAACTTATTTTGACGATAGCCTTCCAACCGGTTTTGATTTCAAACCACATGGCCAGGAACGTGAGCAGAAATCTGTAAAGATGATGCTATTTTTAGAAAAAAGAGATAATGTGTAGCGAAGCCATAAGTAGGAAGACAATTAGTCTGTGTCGAAACGTTTTAACCATTGGTTTTAATGGAGTTATTTTAACTTTTTGTGTTTTTAATTTTGTCTGGCGTTTTAATAAAAACGTTTTTAACTATGGGTGAATGGGTGTAATTTACGGGGTGCGATTGCACTCCCTACAGCCCAACTGCCAACGAAGAAAAACAGTATTGTTGAAAACAGTTTGTAATTCACAATCGTAGTGGTGTTTTGTCAAGAACATATATTCATTTTAACTACAATTTTGAGACATTTTCCTGTGTTGAACGAATTAAATATTAAGGTGAATCGGCACGCTCTATAATTTTAGTTTTTCAAAGGTATGATATTTGTGATTATTTAGTCAGAAGTTTGTAGCTGTAAATTACGAAAACGAAAGAAAAAGTGTTTCCAGGGCAACAGTGCTTTGTTTAAGCACGTGAAAATATGGAGCTAGAAAGGCCAAGGTTCCCAAGTATTTTTCACAGTGAGCCAATTCAGGTGATTACCATAAAGCCAGGACTGGGGCCGGGCCTGAGCTTGTTGGAGAATACATTATACACCAAATACAGTTTCGGTTACTTCTGAGTATTATAACTGTCTTATAAAATATCTGATTATAGATTGGGCCACGAATCAGGCCTGATGTGGCCCGTGGGCCGCCTATTGGGGACCGCAGCTTTAGTTACTGTCTCTTAGAAAGCTTTAAAACATCAACTATCCAGTGCAATATTTTACAGATTAAAAAGTCTCTGTCAGTTTTAACGACAATCATTGCTCCTAGATCTATCTAATTGTGAATAATTAGCAGACGTAATTTCAGTTTTGCTCTTGCCCAGTGAAAACCAGTTATCGCGTATAACTGTATGCTCCACATTGTAGTTACTCCATAAACTTTAAATTATCCTATAATATAGCAGTTCCTATATGATAACTGGGACTCTTGGTAATTTTTTTTTTACCTGGAGGGCTACCCCCTCCCCTCCTCTGGGTCCACCCTCACTTTAACCTCCGAGTTTAACTCTTACATATCATAAAACACAATTTAACCATATAAAGAAAACTTTTAGGCTTAATGACAATGGAGAATTGGTTTGTTTGTTTGGGAGTTCGCGCAAAGCTACACGAGGGCTATCTGCGCTAACAGTCCCTAATTTAGCAGTGTAAGACTAGATGGAAGGCGGCTAGTCATCATCACCCACCGCCAACTCTTGGACTACTCTTTTTACCAACGAATAGTGGGATTGATCATCACATTATAACGTCCCCACGGCTGAAAGGGCGAGCACGTTTGGTGTGACGGAGATTCGAACCAGCGACTCTCAAATTGCGAGTCGAGCGCTCTAACCACCTGGCCGTGCCGGACCTATTATATAAGGCCAAATTAACACCACTTTTTTTTTATAACTTAATGAAGATAAAAACTAACAAACTTTGAGAAACTTAAGTCAATTTATAATCAGTACATTAAATGTGAAAGAGCGGACTGACCATGTCCTTAATATCAAGCTTGTTTTGAGTAATACAAATTGTCTGTCTGTATGCTACGGATGAAATAACTCGTCTTCAAATAAATGAATATGTGAAGTAAAATAAGATTTATAAAATGAAATTCACTATTCTTCAAAAATATAGTTGGCCCTAAACCCATACTTTTCA